TTTTTTATTGATTTATAATCATTTTACAATGTTGTGTCAAATTCCAGTGTTCAGCACAATTTTTCAGTCATTCATGGACATGTACACACTCATTGTCACATTTTCTCTCTGTGAGTTATCCTAACATTTTGTGTATATTTCTCTGTGCTATAATGGGAGGAAGACTTTGATTCATCATGGCGCAATCAGCTGAGACTTCACAGTGGAGGTGGCAAGTGTCCCTGAGGGTGGCAGTGCCATTGTATCACATGGGGACTACTGCACCAGCCTCCCAGATATCTTCTCAGGGTCTACTCTTGATCCTCTAGAACCTCAAGGATAAGTCCTCTACAATTATAAATCTGATTATGGTACTCCCCAGCCCCAAATCCGCCATGACTTACTGTTTTTACAGCAAAATCCCCAATCTTCCCTTATGGCCCCTGAGGCCCTCCTTGATGAGGCCCCAGCTTCCTCTGCCACCCCACGTGTAGACCAGTGGGGCCTCTGGGAGCCAGGTAGCCCCAGTCTTTCCAGGATGGGTGCTCCCTTGGAAGACACCTAGGTTAAGAGTGGATGAGGAGAGAGACAGCCTAGTGCCCAGCTCTTGGCTGGGGCAAGTCTCTTTGAGGAACCTTGGAGCGCCTCCATGGGAGTATTGATCAGATTCATGGCAGGAAGCAAAAGGGTTGACCTGCAAAGAATCTGATGGCAAGACTCTGTTTAGTGGTGAGGGCAGGGCTAAAGAAACCAGCAAGAGAGGCCAGTCACCCTGGGGGTAAGGCAGCAGGAAGCTCTTACCCCTCAAGGGGTCAAAGGAAGAGAAGGAACATGGGCACTGAAAGGCCAGAGAGTGCTAAGGAAGGGAGCTATGGTTTTATGGGTCACAGCCAATGCCAGACTCTAGAAGGAAGGAGCAGACGGAAGGAGGGATGGACACCTGACTTCTGCCTCCTCCTACTTACCTCTCTCCTGCCGCAGATTCCTTTTGGCCAGATTCAGCTAGAATTAGAGCCTGAAGGAGTCTAGGTGACAGTGTTCTTAGGGGTTAGCCCTCTGGAGCTCAGAGCAAGCAGAGAGGGCAGAAAAATTGACTTGGATGGGACTGACCACCAAAATGAATTAGCAACACAGCAGGCATCCCGGATCCTACAGGGACAATGAGAACAGCCAACCCTAAGAGGGCCAGCTCTTCCCCAAGAAAGAAAATTCCATGTATGGGGAAGAGGGAACCTGGCTGACAGGCAGCTTTCCCAGTCAGGCCACAGTGTTCACATAGCATCCGGATCCTGTACCCAGCGCATCTGCCAGAATAGTCCACATGGCCACAGACATCTCATACTTTGGCCCACACACAGCTGCAGAGGGCAAAGTGTCATTGCCCTGTGATCCTGGACCTTGCCCACCTTCCCTGCTTCTTTCCCGGGACTAAGACCTGGGAAGACAAGAGGGGCATTTGGTACCACCCATGAGACAGGCAGAGATGATTCAGATCCAACCACGGAAATAATGGTAGGCGTAATAGTGATAACAATATGTAATACAATATGTTAACAAGATGTTGTTATCGCTATAAGAATCACACAATTAAGCTCTCCCTATGTGCTGGAGATTGTGTCATTCTATCGTTATATGGTCTTCTCCCAAACTCTAGGAGGCGATGATCATCAATGTTCCCATTTGAAAGATGATAGTATGACCCAGACAGTTAAGCAGATTGGTGAGGTCATTCAAGTCAAGTCCAGGTTTGCTGGCTGCAAGGCCAGGCGGTTAGCTATCATGCTGCACTGTCCCTGAAGCCACCTGGAGCCACAGACAAGAGGGAGAAGGAGTCAGGATTCATACAGCCCTTCCTGGTCAAGGGGTCCATCAGAGCTCACCTTCTAGAATGGTCTTACAGCCCTGGCCCTGCCAATCCTGTGCCATCCTGAGCCCTCCCAGCTTTCTCTTGCCCCAGGGCCTTTGCACAGGCTGCTCCCTTTTCTGGGACACTGCCTTCCCTCTTTGTCAATTCCCCATTAGTCAATCCCCTCATGGCTTGACAAAATCCACCTTGGTTTACTATTGTGTGCTTCACAAAGTCCTGCTAAAAGTCCAGAGTCACACCCCTCATCCTGTCCCTCGCCACACCCTACTGTACTTAGCCCTCCATATGATCCTAAGCATTAGCCTCTTTCCCCTACCAGGCTGCCAGCCCTGAAAAGACTGGCACATACCTGTCTGGCTTACCCCTGTGTCCAGAGAGCCCAGCCCAGTGCCTAGCAGATAATGGGTGCCCAGTAACATGTGGCACAGGCAGTTGGATGCTGGCACCAATCCAGACACTCAGAGCCAGGAGCACACTGCAGCCCCCACATGGAGAGCTGCATCCAGGGCTGCACAGCAAGGAGGAGGGGGACTCTCTCCTGTGATCTGAGGTGAGAGCAGCCAGGACCTCATTGAGGGACTCTCAGAGCAAGGGCTGCTGAGCTGAGATCCACGCAAGGAAGGCTTCGGTTGACACAAAAGAAAGGGGAAGGTGTTCCAGGCATAGGAATAGCATGTGCAAAGGTTCAAGGGAATGAAAATGCCCGGAGTCACTGGGAATGAAAGACAGGAGAGGCTGTGGGAGATGAAACTCAGAAGGTCCCTAGCACCTCAGCGTTTGACATGGTCCAAATTAAACTCTCAGTAAAATGTTGGAGAGAAGAATGCATCCAAGCTGCCTCCCATGCTATTCCCTTCCTCTTTACCTAAACCTGCTCTCAGCAATTCCTCCTTGTAAAGGTACTGGTTCCTGAGAACAGCTTGAGGCAGGAGTTCTGGGGGTGGGCTCTGCTTGATCAGATGCAGACCTCCAGTGGGGAGGGAGGTCAGAGGCAGTGTTCTAAGTGCATCATGTCTTTATTTTTTATTAAATTTTTTTCTTTCTTTTCTTTCTTTCAGTGGAAGTACTGGGGATTGAACCCAGGATCTTGTGCATGCTAAACACACACTCTACCACTGGGCTATATCCTGCCTTCCCTTTTACTTACTTATTTATTTTTAATTTTTTAAGTGCTTTACATCTTTAATCTTTACTCATTTAATCTCTACAACTACCCTGCATAGCATATTCTGTTATTATACCCACTTTACAGATGAAGAAACCAAGGCACTAAGAGGTTAAGACCTGCCCCACATCTCACAGCTAGTACACTGGGTGATGGAGCTCGGGCTTGATTGCAAGTGAACTGCCTCCAGGGAACCTCAGAGCTCAACCACCTGTTCTGCTGCCTCATCCCTGTGTATAGAGCTTACCATGAAAACACAGTGCAGGTGCTCTGCGTGTGGTGCTCCCCTGTCCAACTGCCGATGCTGAGATGTGTTACTGACCGCCCCTGTTTCAGAGATTGGCACAAGCTCATTGAGGTGACGATGTCACACTTACTGAGATGGAACCTCCTGACCGAAGTGCAAAAGTTGGCATTAACCTTTTGTCAAGGCTCAATTGAGCGAACGATCCATGGGGGATCAACCAGTCCTGAGAACAGTGCAGGCTTCCTGCCCCGTTGTCCCAGCTCAGGCCCAGGGAGCCTGGACGGTTGCGAGGAGGCAGTTTAGACATCTCAGGATTAAGTCTGGTGGCCAGGGGGCCAGTGCCTGAGGTCTCCTCCTTTGGGCTGGTGGAGGGAGAAAGGAGTGGGTTTGGAGTCACCTCCCCCCGTCCCTGACTAGCTCTATGACCTTGGGCAAATCCTTTCATTTCTGTGCCTTAATTTCCGCATTTGTAAAATGGGGGAGATAATAGCTCCTTTGCAGAACTGTTATAAGGATTAAATGAAATGTGAGATGGATATCTGAAGCCCCTAGAACATGCCTGGTGTGTAACCATGATGATGTTAATATTAAAGAGAATAACTGAGGCTCACAGAAGGGATTGGCCCAAGGTCACCCGCAGTGCCCTTTCTGCTCGAACTCTTCCTTTTGTAGCCTCTATTTGCGTTGATGACTCCAGCACTCTGTCACTTCCCATGGTTTAAAACCAGAGTCCAGAATCCTCTTTGACTGGTCCTTCTCCCTAACAGCCCTGCTCCCGGCCCACCCCTAGTGCAGGCAGCTGGCAAGCACTTAGTGACGTGTGAGCCTATCTCCTGAACTGCATCCCCAGTTTCTGGCCCCCTCTGTCTCTCCTCCGGGGTAGCTCAATAACCTTCTCAAAAACCAGAGGCCAGCATTTCACAGGGACTTAGTAAATCTTTTTTTTTTTTTTTTTTGCAGGGCGGAGGTGATTAGGTTTATTTATTTATTTATTTTTAGAGGAGGTACTGCGGGTTGAGCCCAGGACCTCCTGCACGCTAAGCACGCACTCTACCACTTGAGCTACACCCTCCCCCCGAGATTTAATAAATTTTGTTGAATGAAGGTGGTCATCACGCTCTCTCCAGACACTTTCCATCTTCATCCACCCTTTCCCTGCAAAAAAAAAAAAAAAATCCTCTCATCCTGAGATATCTCCGAATGCCTCATCAGGCACATACAAAGCCCTCTACTACCAGCCTCTGTGTGGCCCCATCTGCTCAACTGACTAACCGCCCCCATCATTTCCTCCCTCCTGTATCCTTCATAATTCTCATCATGCACCTGCCTTTGCTCATTCTGTTCCCTGTGCTGGGAATGCCCTTCCCTCCCCTCCCAGGCTGACTTGGCAAATGTCTAGTCACTTTTCAAAACACCCTTTATCATTCCACAAATATGTATTGAGTGCCCACAATGTGCCAGGCACTGTTCTAGACTGAGGCTACATCAGCAGGCAAAATAGAAGTCCCTTACCACAGGATGCCTGCAGCCGACTGACTACCAGGTGGCAGAGACACCTAACCTGGTTAGGGACAGAGTAGGGGAGGGTGTCCGCAGCTCCAGTTGCCCCCTCCAAAAACTCTTATCCCAAACCCCAATCCATTCTCAGACAGCAGTGGCTGCCCTCTTCCTGGTGTCCCCTCTGGCCCAGGACACCAGCTGTAAGGGTCTATTTACACATCTGTGTGCCAGGGACAGCCAGGGCAGTGCTGAGTCTGTGTCACAGTGTCTGAAGTTTGTTTACTGGAAGGAAGGAATAAAAAAGGGAAAGAGAGATTCCTAGGAGGTGGAACAGGAAAGTTTCAGGGAGGAGGTGGGGCTGGAGGAAGGAGTGATTCTGTAGGCAGATGGAAACTTCCCTCTTACACACACACACACGCACACACACACAGAGCTCACACCCTGGCCTGGATTCTGGCTTCAGGTCTTGAAATGATCAAACCCCAGCACTGGAACTTTTCAACCCTATTGGATTGGATGTTCAGCATTCAGAATCGTCCAACAGCTCTCAGCCTACCCTCCCTGGTGCCCTAGGGAATCAGTGAGCATCACTGGGACAAGACAAGAATTAACCCTCGGCTTTTCATACAGAAGGGCTCTCATTTAATGCCACTGCCTCCCCATGGTGATGTTATTAACCCCCTTTTCAGGTGAGGAAACAACAGGTCGGAGGTTAAGTAATGTGCCCAGAGTCGCCAGCTAGTGGGAGAGCCCAGGTTCACACGCAAAGCCATACAGTTACCTCATTTCAGTCCGAGTTTTAGGGCCCAGGCCAGGGTTTCTCGGCCTTGGCACCACTGACACTGCAGCCAGCTGTCCTGTGCCTGGAAGCGTGTTTTACAGCATTCCTGGCCTCTGCCCACCAGCTGTCAGTAGCACCCCCACCTTCCCCCTACACACCAATTACGACCAACCCAAAATTTCTCCAGATGTTGCCCAATGTCTCCCAGGGGCAAAATCTCCCCACTGGTCTTCTCCCAGCGGAGTCACGTGCGCGATCTGCACGACCTCTCTGGGGGCCACCGTCCTGTCCTCCCCTACAGGACACTCTGGGAGAGCCGTCTCCAAGGGCTCAGCAACTTATGGGGCGTGGGGGCCAGGTAGCAATCTTATTTATATGCGTTTTAATAATTAATCTATGTCAGTTTAATTTAATCAAGACAAGAAGTTAATCTTTACTAGCATTTGCTGTTTCAACGGATCGTAGAAGACACCTGTGCTTTTAAACAAATAGGATGGATGAGGCTATGTCTAATATCACTTACTGAGAGAAATAAGCGATCAGAAAAGTTTGGAGACCCCTCTGCCAGATAGTTCTAAGGTTCCTGTCCACCTGTCCTATCTGTGGGACTACAGGAGAGCCCTCTGCTGCCTTGTGATGCCAAAGAGCCTTGTCCTCCCTGAGTGTCAGTTTCTCCATCAGTGAATTGGAGGCAGGAAAGACGCTACCTCACAAGGTTGTTCTATGAAATGATGCACATACAGAGCTTAGCACCTGGTATCATAATACTCAAGAGTGTTCTTATTTTATATTCAGACGAGAACACCGAGGCTACAGAATGTTCCCAAATTCTCCTTAGGTCTTATATCCTTGTGCAGTGAAGCCAAATTCAGACCCCAGTGTTCTCACCCCAGTCCACCTTGGTCCCCACCCCCCAGTACTTAGATCCCGTGACACCCCAGAGAACTCACTGAGGACCGGGACCATTGCTTTCTTGTCCCCATGCCCTCATGTCCCTAGTCCCTGGCACACAATAGCATATGTCAAATTTCTCTTGAATTTGGTTGAACAAATATGCTGATTCTCAAGCCCATCTCCTATTATATCTTTCTGCCAGCTTTCGTTTATACTTTCCTTGGGGAATGCAAAATGCTAAGCTGTTACTCCAGAAGATAAGTGTTCATTATCATTTGTTAAAGGAACGAATAAGTGAATGAATGAACAATGAACAAAGGCAGTTTCTGCTTGGGGGTCAAACCTCAGTCAGATTCCCTTCAAAGTACAAAAGTGCTCAGGGAAGGGTACTGTCATAGCACCCTAGAATGTTCCTTGAAAGCTGGCATCACGGTTTATACTTGTGTGATTGTCAGTTCCCTCCCCGCCCAGCCCCTGTTCCTGCCTGGTACCTGTCTGCCACACCGTCGTAGTCTCTACATGTGTGCTGATGACGCGTGAGTCCATGAAGTAAGAAGTCTGCTTAGCCTCTCCGGCCTGTCACGGATGAGGCCCTGAGGATGGAAGTGAGTTGGCTACAGTCTCTCAGCCAGCCCGCATCAGGACCAGGTGGCCTGCCACTCCAGTGCCTTTCTCCCTCCCTCCCTTTCATCTGGAAGACTGAGGACTGTGGCACTCCAGGTGCTCAGAATCCTGAGTGTGGAGGTGGGGGCTCTTAAGAGAAAGGAGAGGAAATGTCTCAATAGTTCCCTGTGGAACCAGCAGAAGGGGTATGGAGGCAGGGAGGAAACTCTCCTTCCAGACTGCACCAAATCCACGCGGGGAACTTGAACCAGCCCCCACCCTCTGCTGCCCCTGGCTCCTGACTCAGTAGGTAATGAAGGAAAAGTGCTTTGCAAATGAACAGGTGTCTTGGAAGGAGAAACCAATTAGCGCACCCCAGCTCTGGGCTCACCACAAATCCGGGGCCTCTCTTCCACCGCCCCCTCGTCTGTCATCTCCCCATTCACACGATACAGCGCGTGATGGTCAGTGACCAGGGATGCCACCTGCTGCTTGTGTGACTTTGGGCAAAATTCATAACATCACCACACCTGGTACTCTTTATGTAAAGTGGGCACAAGGACAGTATTTATCTCAGAAGGGTGCTATGAGAATTTGAATGAATATATAAAAATGGCTCAGAGCAGTGCCTGACACACAGTATGTGCTATGGAAGGGTGGGCTTCGATTACTCTGTGCTAGGCACTGAGACTACACCTCAAGTTCTCTTTGGCCCCTCTACTGTGATCTCTCTTATTATGGATGTGTGCCAGTGCTCCTGCCAAACACCCACTCCTCCGCTGGGCACCAGGTCCCATCCCTTCTCATCCACTCAAGGCCAGTGCTCTGGTGATTCAACGCACCATCAACTTTTGCCTTTAGACTTAAGAATTCTTATCAGCATTCAAACATGCTGTGATGTCTCCCGTGCATGTACACTTGCACACACACACACACACACACACACACACACGAGTCTCCTCTTGAGCCCACATCTTCCTCCAGCTCCCACCTGCTACTGTGCTCCCCTTTATAGCAAAGATGCTCATGAAAGTTGAATACATGCCCTATCCCCAAATCCTCTCCTCTCTCTTGCTCTTGGAGTCACTCTGGTCTGGTTCGCCCCACTCCCCACCCTCTCCAAAAGTACTCTTGTAAAAGTCAACAGTGGCCCCTCACAACACATCCAGTGGTCAAGTCTCGGTCTGGATCTTAATGATCCAGACAGCAGCATGTGACACACTATTCACTTCGTCCTCCCAGAAGCTCTTTCTGCCCTTGGCATTTAGGGCCAACAGTCTTTTGATTCCTCTTCCATCTCGGTGGCTTCTCTTCGGTCAGCTTTGCTGGTTCCTCTGCCTCTTCCCAAACACCTTACAGGAGGCGAGTCCTTGGTCCTCTTCCCTTCTGTAACAATGTTCACTCCTCTGTCATCACCTGGAGGCTCCTGGCTTCAAATACGATTTCTACGCTATTGGCCCCCAACTATCTACTTCTAGCCCAGCCTCTCCCCTGCCTGCTCAACACCTCCATGTGGACAAATTAATGCATCTCACAGTGACTACAACATCTTGATGTTTACAAAAATCAATTTCCTGACTCCTACCTCCTGGAACACCCCCAAACCAGTTCTCTCGCCTTCGTTCCTCTTGACTCATGAAAGCTCAATCTTTCCGTTTGCTCCGGTCCAACTCCTCTCTCATTTTCACACGGCCTTTCCAGTCTGTCAGCAAGTATTGTTGGCTCTTCCCTCAAAAGAGGTTCTGAGTCGGACCACGTCTTCCCACCTCTGCCACCCAAGTACCGTGGCCTCTCACCAGAGTTGTCATCAGGTCTTCACAAGGAGTCTCCGAGCTTCCATCCTTGTCCACCTTTGCTATCTGCCACACAGTCCCCAGAGAAATCCTGTTAACACAAGAGGCAGATCGCATCACTCCTCTGCTCAAAACCCTCCAATGGCCCCACTACAAACAGAATAAAAGGCAGAGTCAGCACAACAGCCCCTGCGGTCTTGCAGGACCCATCCCCATCCTCTGTCCCCTCCATGTCGTTCCTTGCTGCTCCTGAGACCCTCCTGGACCTGGTGTCCTGTGTCTTTGGAGGCTGTGCCCAGGCTGATTGGCTCCCTTCACATCTTTGCTTCAGGCCACCTGCTCAGTGAGGCCCTACCTGACCACTCGCTTCAATGTGCACATATTCACCCCTCACCCCCCTTTCCCCTGCTCTGCTCCCCCTCCCTGACCCATGGGGTCTCCCTCCTTGGCCCTCAGTCAGCCCTCCCAGGAATGTGAGCTCCTTGCCAGCAGGGAGTGAGGACAGTTTTGTTGACTGCCAGCCACACATAGTCAGCGTGCAGTCAACAGTTAATAAGTGAATGAATGTTCTGTTGGCTTCATCTTCGTCTTCATGCGTGCGTTTGTCCCAGCCAAGAGACTTGCCACAGCCTCTCATGAGGATTTGTCAGAGGAATGAAGAGAAAATGGAGCAATGGAGGTTGGTCTGGGCTGCATCAGCCAGGCTCTTCAAGGAAACAGCATCCTTCTCAGGCACTTCTCCATCAGGCCATGGGTGTGGGCTCCTGCTTAGGAAGGTGCCTCTACTCTCCTCCCCCATGGGGACCGCCTGCCCGCAGACCCAGGACCTACCATCTTTCTATGTCCATCTAGAAGCTTTACCCTCCTCCATGAGGCCCTCTCCTGAGACCCTGGCCCAGAGGCTCTCTCTGACCCTTAGGAACCTTTCCATCTCCAGCCTCACCCCACCAGGTTCCCAGTGAGTCAACAGGAGGGACTCTCTCTCACAACTCCAGACGGGGTGGAGGTGGTTCCCTGGGTAGCAAGTGTCCTTTCTCCAGCTGTCTGCCTGGAGAATGTCTCCAGAGGCATCCCCTCGGCTTCTACCAGGGCTGCATGGTGGTGGGAGGTGGTGGGAGCATGTGGGACTTCTCTACTGAGGGCTTCTATCTTCTCGGTGCGGTGGGAAGCAAGGTCTCTGGCTGGAAGTGATGATGGGGAAGGAGGTGTAGGAGTTTGGAGGATAGAGGAGAAAATTGGAAGAGTTGAGAATGGAGGGTGACTAGAGAAGGAAATCATGGTAGCTGGCCAGGTAACAGTTAGCCTGTCTGCATGTTTTTCTCAGGCCGTGGTTAACTGCGCAGGCGCGGCAGCAAGGTCGGTGAAGAGCCACCTTGAACCAGGGTGGAGCTCTGCCTGGCAGTGTAATGAGTCACGTGGGAGCAAGAGGAGCTGTATGTCAGGGAGTGACTATGGTGAAAACGACAATATGAGAGTTAAAGGGGTGTTATAAGGAAGCCCAGTGGCCCAAAGGCCCAAGTTTGCTGGCAAGTCTGACAACAGCTTTGAGACCGGGACTGTCCTGAAACATTTTATCCAGAATGTTCAGGAACACTTTTCTCTATCTACTCCTCTCCAGTGTGGATCCATCTCTCCTACCTGTTTCCACAGCACCCTACGCTTATCTCGACTGTATTTTAGTACTTGATTTGTTTGTAGATCTTCCTTCTCGACTGTGAGCACTTGGAGGAAGGAACCAGGTCTCACGTTTCTTTGGATCCCAGTGTCAGACCCCCAGGAAAGCTCATGAAGCAATCACTGACTGATGGACTGCATACATTTATTTGATAGAAACCAGACCATGTTCTGTGTAATAACACATTCTCACGTTTGTATAGCAATTTGCAGTTTGTAAAGCAATCTTGCATCCGTGATCTTATTTCAACTTTACAACGACCTCACAAGATAGCAAGTCATTCATTCACTCACTCACTCATTCATTCATTCATTCATCCAACTGAGTAAGAGCACTTACCCTGTGTCAGGCGTTGTTTTAGGCACCAGAATGCAGGGGCAAACAGCACAGACAGAAGTCCTTGCTTTCATCGAGCTTAAATTCCTATAGAAGATGTTACCTATTGTACAGATGGGCAGGCTGAGGTTGGCTTAAGGGAGGTTAAGCAATCTGGTCACGGCCACAGGGCTTGCAGGTAAAAGAATCCAAATTGGGACACAAAGCCGTCTGACTCCAAGCACAGAGAAGGCATTTTTTTTTCACCACACCCTAGTCACCTCAAAGGATCGTCAGCTCATCCGTGAGGTGTCTTTTTCTTTTCCTAACTTAAGAACAAATAAAAAGGAGACTTGGCAGAAATCCACAACCCGGGACTACCTTGGAACGCCTTCCCTTGTCTGGTGTGTGTGTTGAACAAAGACGTGAGAAATACCTGCCAGGTCTCTGCTTGCCAGAGCCAAGGACAGAAACCACGCAGCGCTGTCAGCACGGGCGTCTGCTTGTGTGCAAACCCGCAGGCATTTTTAGCAACTTTGGGGAACATAAAGAAAGCTGTTGGTTTTGTTTGCACATATTTTTCGCCTCTGCAGAAGGCTTCTCACCAAGCAGCAGCCTCAGAGTTGCCTTTTTATTTGATCTTAAGCCACGCGATGTCTGTATAACTCACTGGCTGTGCTACGGTTGGCAAACGACTTCACCTGTGCCCGGATCCCTCCCCTGGAAAATGGCTCTGGTGATAAGGACTCCTGCCTCTCTGGGTGGTTGTGGGGATGAAAGGAGGTCCTCGGGAAATGACAGTAAAGCTTTGTGCCTGGGAGGAGGACTGTGGTGAAGTCCAGTGGAAGCAGCCCAGGGAGGAGAGGGCTTTATTAGAACCTGAAGGACCTGGGTTGGAATCCCAGTTCTACCACTATGGCTGCAGGACCTAAGGCAAGTGACTGAATTACCCTCACCCCTCCAGCCTCGGTCTCCCTCCTCGATGGCAATCGTAATACACACCCAAACGGTTGTTATGAATATTAAAAATAATGTATATATAGTGTCCGGCACTGAGCCTGCCTGTCCTAGTTGTCCAGTAAATGGCTCAAGGTGTTTATTATTATCATTATCATTATCGCTATTAGTATATGGGTGGTAAGGTCAGCAGGATTTTAAGCCTTTAGACTGTGTATTCCTTGAGGCAAGCATTTTGTCCTCTGTATTCCTGGATACCCGGTGCCCCAAACTCGACCCGTGAGTTCACAGCTGCCAGGACAGTTTGGGGAACCGGATGCAATGAAGACCAGATGCCTCAGAGCGGTAGCTCGGGCTCGAACAAGGACACGTGTTCGCTGCACATTGTCACGGGACAGCCGTTACCTGTGTGTGCAGTCACTCCTCGTGTAGACTTACCACGCAGGTCAGCAGTCAGACGACACGCCCAGGTTCACAGCCGATGGGTGGCGGACCGAGGACCAGCACGCAAAGGCGACGACTTAGGAGCCCCCGCCCTTAACCCCTGCCCTGCATTGCCAGGAAGAAAGCTGGTTTGAGGGTTTCCTTCCCTCTGACCTACTTCAGCCCCTGGCCTTCCGGTTGTTTCTGATGCTGCCAGCAGGTAGGGTTAATCATCTCTCTACAGAGGCCTCCATAAAAGATCTGCGTGGCCAGCCCGTGTTATTGCTCTGGGTGTTTGCTTGCGTTTTGGTGTTTCTCTGTAACGGCAGGCACTGGGAGTGAAAAGGGAGACCGACGTCACGCATCTCTGGTCGTCCCTTCCTGGGCAGAGCCCGCCCCCTCTGGAAGCAGTTGTCACCCCCCGGCCACCCAGTGGCCCAGAGATACCCACTCACACCCATCTCCTGGGAAGTGTGCGCTAGCTCCCAGAGCTGAAGGGGAGGAGAGGGGGGGAGGGCCTGCCCCGGGGAGCCCCTCCCAGTGGGGCCAGAGGCCAGCAGCGGGGACTGTGGAGACGCCAGACTCCTCCTCTGCTCCCAAACCATCAGCTGCTTCTGTTGGGACGTCACATGGATGTGCTTGGCAGCCTGCTGTGGGTCCCACATCTCCATGCAGAGTCCTGGCCCCTCAGTCCAGAGACGGGAGAAGGCTTGCCCCCGTCACACAGCTGTCAGTAGTGGAACCAGGAGTTACTTTCCTCATTCTCGGGCCAGTGATCTTTCTATAGTTTGATGTCAGGCGATGGAGATCAAATCCCCAAAGAGTTGTGTAAAGGACTGTGTGAGTTACGTGTGACACAACAACATAGCAGGGGAGAGTTCTATTTCTAGAGTGAGAGCCCCTGAATCTGCATTCCGGCCCTGCCTCTAGTTGGGCGGCCTTGGACAAGTCTTACAACCTCCTTGAATTCCTAAAAGGAGGAATCAGTGACCCCACCTCGCAGGCTGTCGCGGGTGTGAGACGATATAGTGCCCATAAAGCTCTTGGTCTGCTTCCTAGCAAACAGTGAGAGATCAAAACACGTGAGCTTTATTGCTTCCTTCGTTCTCCAGACATTTATTGGACATGAAAATGGGCATATTTACACACAATATTTCATTCAAAACAGACAACAAGGCTCTAAGGCAGGAATTAAGATCCCCATCAGGCAGGCGAATGAACATGGGGTCCGAAGGGTTCGGCGATTTGTCCAGGATCTCTTCGCTGGTGAACAGGGGCTCTGATTCTCTGACTCCAGATCCCCTGTATTCTACACTAGAAGCAGAGAAGTTAAGTGGGTCCCGCAGCCTCTTCTCTGGTTAATGTAACAGCAACAGAAAAAAGAAAACAAAGAAGGGGAAGAAGAAGGCCCCAAGCCCACAGCACTTCTTGGAGGCCTGTCCAAGTCTGGGTAGGAGCACCCCACTCAAGTGACAGCCTGGAGGAGGGCGTCACATGAGAGCGTTCGGCTAATTTGGAAAGTTATGAAATGACGGGCACACACTGGTCTGCTCACTCAGAAAGTGCAAGGAGGGAAAAACAGAGCAACACCACAGACTTCCAGGCTGGGTGGCAGCAGAGGGAAGGAGCAGAATTTTGCCTATTGCAGCACAATTGAGTATAAAATCTTAGAAAGGTTTTGCAGGATGATGGATAGGGCCTACTGAATATGCAGCGTGGCAATGGGAGGGTAGGAGGAATCAGGAAGAGAGATGGGGTCTTTGGAGCCATAGGGCTCTGCCAAGTATGAGTCCTGAGATTGAGGACAAAGTATGTAGCCTCTCTGAGCCTTAGTTTCTGAAATGTAAATGTGAATATCACTGAAATTTACTGGAGAATTTAAGGATACCTGTACATAGCTCATAGATCCTAAGATACTGATCTTAGCACCTCTAAAATGAAGGTGTGTCCTGTAATCGATCACATTTTATAGTCCATGAAATATAGAAAGTAAAACTCACATAAAGTGAACACTCAGTAACTTTGGACAAATATTATCTCATAGAAGTCAGAGGTGTATCTTGTAACACATCCTGCAGTTAACAGCAATGCTGGAGAATGGGAGCAACATCTTCTGTTCATCGTACGAGGTCCATGATCTGTCGGGTGAACAAGTACACCTGAAGGGCCCTCAGGTTCACTTCAAATCCAAGATTCCAGGTTTCTCAGACACTATATCTTCTGCCATAACACTACCAACAACCAAAGAGTTACCTGTTCTTTAAACCCAAGTTCAGGACATGTGATTTTTCATTGTCTGCAAAATGAAATCCAAAAATGTCTGATCAAACTCCAGTGCTCTAAGGAGGCTAGAACCATCCAAAACAACCCAAAGTACTTAGAACCATATTCCTTCCCACCTTTGACTCTGAACATGCTCTTCCTTTTGCCTGGAATTCCTTCTATCCCCTACTTCCTCCTTCTTTCCTTCCCCTCTGCCGGGGACATTGGATACAATGGGACAAATGGATGGGACTCCTTCCTGCCCACAGATTACTGAGAACTTGGCAGAGGAGAGAGTTAAGTAAGAAGGGGGAAGGGTAGGGTGTGAGGAGATCTGAGATCAGGAAACAGTGAACCTGTCCTCACACTGACTACAGGACAAAACCCTACTTTTCTCTGAGGCATAAGTCAGCATCCCCTCTTCAGTGAAGCTGTCTGGGACCTCTCCGATTGGACAGATTTCCCCGTCAATGAGCCCCAAGCCTGAGGGAGCACCTTTCCCTCTGGGTCTATGGACCTCTGACCCCATTTTTAGACCGGGAGCTCCTTGAGGGCAGGGATGTGTTTTCTCCATAGCTTAGTTCCTAGCAGGATGGCATGAATAGGGTAGGGGCTCAAGAAACGCTTGCTAAATGGAGACTGAATAAAGGATTGAATATGAATAAAGGACTAAAATGGATTAAATTAAATTATATTAAATTATTAAGTGAAAAAATAAAGGATTTTTTGTTTTTACTCTTTAAGAACAAATGTAAGTAGTCGAATAGTATAAATGTTCCCAATATGGTAATTTTATGAGGAAACCACATTATACAAGGTATGTGATGGGCTTCAAAACTAATATAATGATTTGATATCTAGAGAATACTAAAACAATTACATTATTGCTTTCTTTCCTTCCCCTCTTGTTTAAAGATGTACAAATTTCTTTAAGGAAAAAGACACTGTTTCACTCCAAAACCAACTATTATTCTCCCTATCATTTTATTTATTTGTTTACATTTTGATTGAAGTGCAGTTGATTTACCATGTTGCGTTAGTTTCCAGTGGATTTATTTTGTAATTGGTGGATTTCTCCACAGGAAAAGTCTTGCAAAAGATATAAATAATCAGCTGCATTTAGCTGCCCTCCTCTGAGTCTCCCCTGTCTCTGAAATGAAAACATTAGTTATCAGTGCTTTTCTTTAAAAAGAAAAATTCCTATTCTTTGTCTCTCTCTGTCTCTGTCTCTCTTTCTCTAGCAAGTGAAACTCTTTCTTCAAGGGAGCTCTTACTCAAAGCCCAATGTGTAATGCAAATAAAGTACAAGCTTCTTTGAAGTAAGGCACGGAATATGACCCTTCCAGCTCATCTCTGCTTCCCCGTTCCAGGAGGAGAGCAGTTGGACGCCCTCTGGAGTCCCCGTCACCTCCAACACTGAGCCAGGCTGTAATTACATCAAGAAGCCAGATTCACCAGGACCACTGGTTACAACCAGAAGACAACGCTAAATATTTATTAAATGCCTAATATATGCCAGAGCAGTCAGGCCCTTTAAAAATTGTCTTATTTCCTCTTTCTTTCTTGCCATTCCTTTCTCTTTGCCCCCAATTCTTCATTTTCTAGTTAAAAATAATTGTGGGTTGTTGCCACCTGCCTTAAATACTCTTGGAGAGTGAGTTAGAGTCATAAATAGATATAAGTACAAAATGTGGTGTTGGTTTAATTCTTACAACAAACCTGTGGGGTTGGTTTGAGAAATTCTGATTCATAACTGAGGTCGGTGGGGCTCAGAGAGGAAGCGAAGTTGCCCAAGATCATTCCAGGAAGTCAGCGAGCACCATCCCAACTCCCACCTCCCACCTCCTGGGCGCCTTCCCGGCCCCAGCACCGTGCTCCCTAAGAGGCGCATGATTACTAATGTATGTAACCCCTACAAACCCCATGAGACCAATACTGTCGCTTACAGCCATGTTACAGATGAGAACACGGGATTAGAGAGATGAAGTTTAGCCAGAGCCAGGCAATCAATAAAAGCTGAGCCAGCCTTGAACCAAGTCCGGGTAATGCCCAAGCCTGGGCTGGTACCCAACGTGGAGCCCACACTCCTGCCTCCAAAGCCTTGTTCCTGACTTCCCTCCTCCCTTTGAAAGCAGTCTCCATGCCCTCCTGGCTGGGGTTTGAGGAAATGCACAAATGCCAGGGACCACACAGTGCCATGCAGAAGCACAAACCATGGTCATTAAGCAAACGGGACTGCCTAGGGGCAAGTCTGGGCTTCGGTGCGATTTGGTGTGTGACCTTTGACAAGTTATTTAACTTCTCTGGGTCTCCGTTTCCTCAGCCACAAAATGAGAATTACAATCCTAGCAACCTCAGGGGGATCGTTAGGCATGAAAAGTCTTAGCACAGCACCTAGCATGGAGTAAGCACGCGGTAATTGCTAGCTCTTATTACCTGTGTGTAAAACGCCTAGCAATTAATAGCAGCTTTCTGATTATGTTATTACAGTTTCTGTCTCTGTCTTGAGGGATTCCACACATCCATGGAACTTTCAACCACAGGGAAGCTAGAACTGGCCACAGAACTCACTCCAGGCAGAATCTGGCTCCTCTTCCTCTCTCCCAGGCTGAAGGCTTCTGCTCTCTTTCAACAGAAGCTTATTCAAATCAACAAACACTCTTGAGTGCCTTCTGTATGCCTGACCCTGCTTGAGACTCTGGGTCCAGAAAAATCAAAGAAGCACAAGGTCTCCCTGCTTTTGGTGCATATGTGTGGTAAAATATTCATAAAATAATATTTATCATTCTAACTATTCATAAGTGTCCAAGGCAATGGCATTCAGTACATTCTCAGTGTGGTGTAACTGTCACCACTCTCTATACCCAGAAGTTCTTCTTCACCTCCAGCAAGAACTCTGTACCCATTAAAAAATAGTTCGCCCTTCCCCCTCCTTCTATTCTAATTCTCTACTCCTCTAATTCTCGATTCTTCTAATAGAGTAATCTCTATTCTAGTTTCTGTCTCTATTTACATTTTAAAAAAATTTTTTAGTAAAATGCGCAACACAAAATGTAACATTTTAACCATTTTTTAAGTGTATAGTTCGATGAGTGGTATTAGGTATGTTCACATTGTTGTGCAACCATTACCACTATCACCATCCATCTCCAGAACGTTTTCATTTTTCCAAACTGAAACTCTGTACCATTAACACTAACCTCCCTCCTCCAGCCCCTGACAACCACATTCCACTCTGGGTCAATGAACTTGACGACTCTAGGAACCTCGCAGCAGTGGAATTACATAACATTTGTCATTTTGTGATTAGCTTATTTCACTTAGAGAGTCCTGTTTTCAAGGCTCGGCTGTGTTGTAGCAGGTGTCAGTAGTCCTTTGCTTTATAACGCTGAATAATATTCCACTGGGTGTAAGGACCATATGTTGTGTATCCATTCTTCTATTGTGGACCTTTTGGCCACTGTGATAACACTATGAACATGGGTGGACAATTCTCCCCACCTTGGAGCTGTTTGTGGTCTAATGTGGGGGATGACGGGTCGACTCACTTCTAAGTTGCCCCAGATAAGTCCCAGTTTCCTCATCTGTGAAATGGGGATACTGTTACGTGCTATACGGCTTAAATGAGATGATGCACAATTTAGGGCAGCGCCGACACCTGGTAAACACTTGCTAAATGTGAGCCCTTGTTGCACCATTAGGCAGGATGTGTCTAGAGGAGAGGGGGCTGGAAATCAGGCAGTCAGCATGGGCCTTCCCACACACATCAGGTCAGCCCACCCTCACGAGCATCCTGGCAAGAGGGCCTGAAGATCCCAATTTTCCAGGTGAGGAAACAGACTCAGAGAGGTCCTGGGCTGGAGTGGTAGGGGTGGGCCTGGAACGGGGCTTCTCCGGCCTTCCTGTTCAAATCTAGAGAGCGGGGATGGTGTGAAGTCCCTGGGGGATGAGGCGCCGTACACACCCGCCCCCTCAGACGTCTGCAGTGCTGGCCTGACCAAAGCCCGCACGCTTGTCCCAGACGTCCTGAGTGTCAGAGGGAAGAGCCGGAAGGCAGGAGGGAGGAAAGGTGTTAACGTGGAGGCAGAGGGCACAGCCTGAGCAAAAGCCAAGAGGTGAGGGCAGGAGTGTCTGCAGGAGAAATGGGAGGAGGCCGGTCTGGGAGCAAAGGGCACCGTCGTACGTGGGAGGGTGGGGTCGGGTCACCAAGGGCAGGGGAGGCGGCCCAGCCCAGTCCGGTTCCAGGGCTGGGAAGGCTGGGAAGAACTGCCCAAGTGGCATTTCAGGGGATTAGTCAGACTGATTGGACAGAGACACTTGCTTGCTTTCAAACCACAGGCGATGTTTTAACAGTTGTATGTGTTGTACGTGTTTCACTCATATTCACGTACATAGTACAAAAAGTCAGACAGTTCTAGAAGGCCCATTCCCTAGCCCCATTCCCCTCCATCCCCAATCTTACTGCCCAGAGGCAGCCACTGACCAGGATCTCTTCCATATTTAACTCCGTATTTCTGAATAATGGGTTTTGAGATGTGACTTCTTGGCTTGCTACAACGAAAGAGAAAGATCTAGCTCTCCTCGCTACAAAGCCACTTCACCTTACCCCACCTTCCCAACCTAGTTACAACACAGTTTTTGGTTAGATTGAACGTTTGTAGTATTGTGGCCCTGAAGGTCATGGCTGAGCTGTATAATATTATGATTAAATTTCTGCTTTTATACAATTTATTCTTTTTACTGAAATTAAGGTCTTTGTTTTTTAATTCTATCTGCTTCTTTTTCTAAGCATGTTCATCTGGAAATGTAAGTCTTTTCTTAGGAGCTTCAAGTACCTGTAGGCAATCAATACCTCTGTCCACCTTGCTTCCTTCCAGAACCATCAGTGCTCCTGCTCTAACTTGGACACCTGTTCTCTTGACTGCTGCAGAGGTAGCTCAGCCCAACTGTGTTTCAGTGGAGCCCCTGAGGCCAGACAGGTGAACAGGGTGAGATGCCTCTTAGCCCAGTCATCTCTCAACTACAGATTTTACTCAGAAATTACCCATTATGTTCTTTCTAGATCCCAAAGAGTTCCAGTACCAGAGGTTGGTGATGCAGAGATGAATTAGATGCGGTCCCTGCCTCCACAAGGGTCTCAGCCCACTGCGGTAGACACAAGTAAGTGCTGAGCCAGAAGGGAGCTGTGGGAGTTATGGGGAGGGAGAGGTGGCAGAGGAGAAGCCCTTACCTCAGCCTTGGGAAGGGCCAGTATGGAAGGCTTCCTGGAGGAGGTGAGGCTAAATGAGTCTCAACTTGTCAGGAGGAGTTTTCTAAGAGTTCTGGGAAGGGCATTCCAGGTAGGAAAGCATCCTGTGCATGGTCATGGGGACATGAGAAAGCAGGACTCTTTCTGGGAATTTCAAATAATTAGTGATGATCACATGGGAGGTTTCCAGTGGAGGGGCCATCAGTGTCTTGTGTGCCATGCTATGGGACCTGAGGGAAACGGGGAGTCACAGAAGGATCTTAGAGAGGAAAGACATGATCAGGTCTGTGTTTTTTAAATGACAAGATGACTGCAGGGTGTCAGATAGGTTGGAGAGAGAGATGGGCTAGTGAGGGAGATGTTGAAGTGTGGCAAGAATAAAGAGGGCCTGTACTAACAGGGGCACTGGGGGTGGGGCATGGGGCTCCCAAGACCTTATGCAGCTGAAAAGGACTAAACTCAGAGTCATGAGGAATGTGGGAACACTGACAGATAATTCTCAGGTGTCTCAGGGAAAAGACATGTCAATTCAATGCATGTCTCCTGGGAAACCAGAAGCTACTCTGAGCTAGAAAGAAGGACGTTGGTTTCTTGGTGTGTTTGAAGGGCCAGAGGGACTGAGAGAGTGGATGTCCAGGGACTGAGGGAGCAGGGCGAGGGCCAGGGATTCAGAAACTAGATGGTAGAGGCAAGATTAAAAGGCAGTGGAGTCAGAGGGGTTAGTACAGCCTAGCTGTAAGAGCACGAGCTCTGTCAGCCCTTGCTTTAAATGTCAGCTCTGACACCTGCTGGCTGAGCCTCCATTTCTCCATCTGTAAAATGGGGACCATAATTCTACTTATCTTGTAGGGGAGTTCTGAGGATTAAATGAGACCCTGGCCATAAGAAGTGCTTCATAACAAACAAAAACAAAGCATAAATACAGGACAGAAATAGACTCATGGACAGAGAATACAGACTTGTGGTTACCGGGGGGGTAGAGGGTGGGAAGGGATAGACTGGGATTTCAAAATTGTAGAATAGATAAACAAGATTATACTGTATAGCACAGGGAAATATACACAAAATGTTATGATAACTCACAGAGAAAAAACTGTGACAGTGAGTGTGTATATGTCCATGAATGACTGAAAAGTGCTGAACACTGGAATTTGACACAACACTGTAAAATGATTATGAATCAATAAAAAATAAAAATAAAGAAAATAAACAGTTGTAGAAGAGAAAAAAAAAGAAGCGCTTCATTTTGTGACTCCCTGTTATTTGTCTTGGGGATCAATGACGGCTTCAAAAAGCAGGTGAGAGCTGAGCTGACTTTGGAGGAGGAGGAGGCAGAGTTGGCTTCACAGGGGTGTGACCTGTGCAGTCACAGGAGGCCCCGCGCTCAGAAGAGCCCTGTGGTCGGTTTAATGCTCCACTTTGCCATCTTGAAGTTTTTAACTTTTAAGCAAAGAATCCCATATTTCCGTTCTCCACTGGACCCCACAGATTACATTGCAGTGCTGTGAAGGGGACACCATCAGGCAGAGAAGAAGGGGTATATTTGTAGCAAAAGGGCCCTAAGTGTGCAAAGGCATGCTGAAACTTGGCACTTAGCTTGTTTTGGAAATAGTCAGTGCTAGGCATGGTGCTTCTAGCAGGAGAGCTGTGTGTCCCAGGGATCAGTAGGAGCTCAAAGCGGGAAACAGAGAAAGGCCTCAAATACAACGTCAAGAGGTTTGGATATCATCTGATAGAAACATGGGGAGGCTTCCAAACTGTGAATCCGGAAGTGGTAACATCATGACCGTTCAGAGAGAGCACCAAGGCACTGCAGGGGTGAACGGTGCAGACAGTATTATGATATCCACTTTACAGATGGGGAAACTGAGACCCTGGAAGGTGATGTGAGCAGAGCTGCACTATGACTTTCGTGGGCTTTAGGCACTTTTAGCTTCATGGACCCCTTTCTTCATAAATGTGCATGGAATATACATACACATATATGTGTATAATTATAATTTACAATTGCATTGGTATTAAGGCAAAGACATTAATATTATATACTGACACATTTTCTTTGACCTAAAGCATGGTGGGCATGAGGTGCGGTGCCTGCTGCGCTTGGCAGGTACGTCGTCCTGGGTAAGAGATGCTCAGCTCTTCCAGCTGTCCCGGGCTGCAGCCAGGACACCTGGGTCTTCCTGGAATTGGTGAGTGGTCCTCTTCTCTTCAAGGGGAGCACTAGCCAATCTCTAAGGCCCTTTCAGCTGGACCCTGCTTTGGCTCCAAGGACTTTCCATCCCAGTGTCCTACGGAGGGTGCTGACAGCTGTTTGGGTTTGGATCTGGATGCTGGGGCTGAATGACAGGTGAAGGAGACAGAGTTGCAGATGTCCCTAGGTTTGGGAGAAAATCAAAGGTCTCTGTGTCTGCAGATGTCTGTGACTTTACTCCTGGTGCCACCTACCTGCAGCGTCAACCCTGGGGACTGGGCTGCCGGCCTACCCCACCCGAACGGAGGGTGGGGAGGCTGAGTCAGCGGCAGCTGCTGAGGAAGCTGTCTGGAGAAGAGAAACATCACCGTCTGTCTGTCTGGGGTTCCAGGAAAACCTGCCTAGAGGTGGTTTTTCTTTGTGGGTCAATGGCTCATGAAGCCATCATTGAGGATGGATGGAGGTTCCAGAAGGATCGTCCCCACTTCACCTCCTTCCTCCAGCTTTTTTCACAGATTCCTCACTGGCCTTCTCGGTCTTTCCTCCATATGCCCAGGACGGTGACAGGATGGCCTGATTCATGAGCTTCAGTCCAGTCTCCTGCTTCCTAGCTTTGCCACTGGATGTACCTGGGTAGGCGAGAGATGTCACAGAGAGTGCCAATTTGGGAAAGGAAAATAGGTCTGGCCTGGCTATCCCCTTGGGTCTCAATCTCCCCTCATCTTCAAATCACATTTCTCCAGACCCCAGATCCCTTTCTACTAGGTTTGGATAATGGATGGATGAATAAATGAATGAATGACTGTCTAAACTTTCCCAGTCTTAGGAGTCACTCTGCCCTCCAATCCCTGAGGTCAGGACATAGAACCCAACTGCCTCTAAATGGGAGGCAAATTGAAACTTGAAGATCTGGAGAAAAAGTCATGAGAAAGTTTCTGCCAGCTCACTTCTATTGCCCCTATGAAGGCTATGGGTCTGATGGGAAGATAAAGGATGAAGTTTGGAATTCCTGTTGAGCAGAAGGGAGACTGAATTGATTGGGGATTTGCAGACACATTACGAGGTAGTGCTATGGGCCCTCTGATTTCAGGGGGTAAGAGTAATAGCTAATATTCCCAGAGCAATTATTACAGCCACACTGGGTCTGGTGTGCTACATACACCACTTCCTTTCATCTTCACATTCACCTGGGAAGCAGGTGCCTAAGTCAGGATGACCCAGGTCATCCTGCAGAAATTAACAAAAACAACAAGAAGAACCATTCTAAGTGGCTTACAAACACAAAAAATTTGTTTCTTGTTCTCATTATATGTCCACCCATCAGCAGTTCAGAAGAAGAGGCATAGCAAGACGGAAATCTAAAAGGCTTGGAATGGAAGGTGGGAGAACTTCAGAGCCTAGAATTCAGGAGGCAGTCAAAGAGCAGTGCAGTGAGAAAGCTCTGGAAAGATAAAAGGGAGGGGTTGGGAGTGGGACCCTGCTATCTGAGATTTCATGGGTGGAGCAGTAGCCAGCCAAGATAAGAGCCAGGTGTGGCTCTGAGTGTGGGTAGCTGGAGTGGCTTAAAGGTGAAGGTCCCTGGAACAGAAGAGGTCAAGGCTCTGATGGATGGAGCCATGTTTCTGTTCCTGGGGGAGAATGGGGGTCCATGGTAGGATGCAACAAGCCACTGGTAAGTGTATTGCAGCTCCCTGGGCTGTAAATTTTACCAGAAAATATGGTTTAGAAATGATGATGCTTTTAATAGTCAAACCTGGAAATATAAAATAAAAGACCTCAAAGAAAGGTGTGTGTGGAAGCCCACTCTCCTCTCCAGTGGAAAGTTGGAGGAGCACTAGATGTAGAAGAGACGCTGAGAAGTCTTCGATGACCACAACCATGGGGGTTCGAGATGCAAACATTCAAAACCAGGGGTCCCTTAAAATTCCCATTCAATGATAATAATAATAAAAGTTAACAGTTCATGAGAGCTTATTATGTGCCAGGCACTGTTCTAAACACTTTATAGGTATAGCTGCTTCAGTTTTCTCATGTCACCCTCAGGGAGGGACCGTTTTTATTGCCAGCACAGGAGGAGTTAACGTAACTTGGCCAAGGCTGCGTACTAGTGTATCAGAAGTGGATTTGATTTCCGGCAAACTGGCTTTAGAGCCCACGCACTTACATGCTACACGAGTGGGTCTCCAACATGGGTGAGCATCAGAGTCGCCTGGGGGCTTGTTACAGTAGTGTTGGGCCCCTCCCTTAGATGTCTGGGGTGGAGCCTGAGAATTCTTATTTCTAAGAAGGTCCCAGGTGATCCTCAGGCTGCGAGTCCCAAGTCCACATTTCCTACTGCCTCACAAACTGACACACAGCAACTACTCAGGGCCCAGCAGGTACAGCATCTCTTTCCAAACACACCTACCAAATGCCTGGGAGCAGGTGTGTGTGTGTGTGTGTGTGTGTGTAACAGGAGGCAGAGGATTATGGCTTAAGTAGTCTTGGGAGACAAAGAAGAAACCTGATTCTGCTCCTCGGCCCTGAGGTATGTGGGATATGGAAAAACAAACCATCTCCACAGAGAAAGCAAGGGGTATGTATTCCACTTAAGATCCAGAGACAAGGCACACAGGGGATA